GTCAATATTAGGGTAGACTGACCACCTTGTAATCATTTCCTAAAAGCATGGAGGCCATTGACAAGCTAGAGGAAAACGAGGAAGCTTTGTTAGGGGAATTAGGTGTAAGTTTGTCCTACATTATATTTATAACGATTAATGATGACTCTGGAAATGATTCCTCAGTCTTTATGAATCTTTTTCGTGTCTGTCAAATTATTATTTAAAGATTGAAATTTGTTTAAAAGTTTATATGGCCATATAGGGGGAAAGGTTTCTGCATGTACGTGCAGATTATTGGTTTCAGTCGTGCAAAATCATAAATAACATTTCTTATACAGATACATTATTGTATGCCTTCATTTTCAGGCCATTCGACTGTTATACCTAATAATACCGTTACTTCTATGGCTATTACTACTAATGTGATGCCATAACAACAACAACTGCTATAGCTTATAATTCTTTTACTAATATTACTATTACTACTAGTTCTATTTCTGCTACTGCTTTTACTTTTATTGCTATTACTACTGCTTCTAGCTGTTACTACTAGTGCTTGCTATATTACTGTTACTGCTATTTCGTCTGCTGCCATTACTATTACTACTATTATAACTTCTTATATTACTATTAATGCTATTACTACTAGCTATATTACTAATACTTATATTGCTTCTACCGCTATAACTTCTTATGCTATTTATAATACTACTATTAATAGTTCTAATGCTATCTCTACAACTTCTGTTACTACATCTGTTACTACAACTACTATCTCTACAACATCTGTTACTACTACTGCTATCTCTACAACCTCTGTTACTACTACTGCTATCTCTACAACTTCTGTTACTACTTCTGCCATCTCTACAACTTCTGTTACTACAACTGCTATCTCTACAACTTCTGTTACTACCTCTGTTACCACAACTGCTATCTCTACAACTTCTGTTACTACATCTGCTATCTCTACAACTTCTGTTACTACTTCTGCAATCTCTACAACTTCTGTTACTACTACTGCACTCTCTACAACTTCTGTTACTACATCTGTTACCACAACTGCTATCTCTACAGCTTCTGTTACTACTACTGCTATCTCTACAACATCTGTTACTACTACTTCTTTCCTACAACATCTGTTACTACTACTGCTATCTCTCCAACCCCTGTTACTACTACTGCTATCTCTACAACTTCTGTTAATACTTCTGCAATCTCTACAACTTCTGTTACTACTACTGCTATCTCTATAACTTCTGTTACTACTACTGCTATCTCTATAACTTCTGTTACTACTACTGCTATCTCTACCACTTCTGTTACTACTACTGCTATCTCTACAGCTTCTGTTACTACATCTGTTACCACAACTGATATCTCTACAACTTCTGTTACTACAACTGCTATCTCTTCAACTTCTGTTACTACTACTGCAATCTCTTCAACTTCTGTTACTACATCTGTTACTACAACTACTATCTCTACAACATCTGTTACTACTACTGCTATCTCTACAAGTTCTGTTACTACTACTGCTATCTCTACAAGTTCTGTTACTACTACTGCTATCTCTACAAGTTCTGTTACTACTACTGCTATCTCTACAAGTTCTGTTACTACTACTGCTATCTCTACAACCCCTGTTACTACTACTGCTATCTCTACAACTTCAGTTACTACTACTGCTATCTCTACAACTTCTGTTACTACCTCTGTTACCACAACTGCTATCTCTACAACTTCTGTTACTACCTCTGTTACCACAACTGCTATCTCTACAACTTCTGTTACTACATCTGTTACTACGACTGCTATCTCTACAACTTCTGTTACTACTTCTGCAATCTCTACAACTTCTGTTACTACTACTGCAATCTCTACAACTTCTGTTACTACATCTGTTACTACAACTGCAATCTCTTCAACTTCTGTTACTACATCTGTTACCACAACTGCTATCTCTACAACTTCTGTTATTACTTCTGCAATCTCTACAACTTCTGTTACTACATCTGCTATCTCTACAACTTCTGTTACTACTACTGCTGTCTCTACAACTTCTGTTACTACTACTTCTATCTCTACAACTTCTGTTACTTCTACTGCTATCTCTACAACTTCTGTTATTACTTCTGCAATCTCTACAACTTCTGTTACTACTACTGCAATCTCTTCAACTTCTGTTACTACATCTGCTATCTCTACAACTTCTGTTACTACTACTGCTATCTCTACAACATCTGTTACTACAACTGCAATCTCTACAACTTCTGTTACTACTACTGCTATCTCTACAACTTCTGTTAATACTTCTGCAATCTCTACAACTTCTTTTACTACTACTGCTATCTCTACAACTTCTTTTACTACTACTGCTATCTCTACAACCTCTGCTACTACCTACTACTGCTATCTCTACAACATCTGTTACTACAACTGCAATCTCTACAACTTCTGTTACTACTACTTCTATCTCTACAACTTCTGTTACTACTACTGCTATCTTTACAACTTCTGTTAATACTTCTGCAATCTCTACAACTTCTGTTACTACTACTGCTATCTCTCCAACTTCTGTTACTACTACTGCTATCTCTACAACCTCTGCTACTACAACTGCTATCTCTACAACTTCTGTTACTACTACTGCTATCTTTACAACTTCTGTTAATACTTCTGCAATCTCTACAACTTCTGTTACTACTACTTCTATCTCTACAACTTCTGTTACTACTACTGCTATCTTTACAACTTCTGTTAATACTTCTGCAATCTCTACAACTTCTTTTACTACTACTGCTATCTCTACAACTTCTGTTACTACTTCTGCAATCTCTACAACTTCTGTTACTACTACTTCTATCTCTACAACTTCTGTTACTACTACTGCTATCTTTACAACTTCTGTTAATACTTCTGCAATCTCTACAACTTCTGTTACTACTCCTGCTATCTCTACAACTTCTGTTACTACTACTGCAATCTCTACACCTTCTGTTACTACATCTGTTACTACTACTGCAATCTCTACAACTTCTGTTACTACATCCGTTACTACAACTGCTATCTCTACAACTTCTGTTACTACAACTGCTATCTGTACAACTTCTGTTACTACTACTGCTATCTCTACAACTTCTGATACTACTACTGCTATCTCTACAACTTCTGTTGCTACTGTTACTACATCTGTTACTACAACTGCTATCTCTACAACTTCTGTTAATACTTCTGCAATCTCTACAACTTCTTTTACTACTACTGCTATCTCTACAACTTCTTTTACTACTACTGCTATCTCTACAACCTCTGCTACTACTACTGCTATCTCTACAACTTCTGTTACTACTCCTGCTATCTCTACAACTTCTGTTACTACTACTGCTATCTCTTCAACTTCTGTTACTACATCTGCTATCTCTACAACTTCTGTTACTACAACTGCTATCTCTACAACTTCTGGTACTACATCTGTTACCACAACTGCTATCTCTACAACTTCTGTTACTACATCTGCTATCTCTACAACCTCTGTTACTACTACTGCAATCTCTACAACCTCTGTTACTACGTCTGCAATCTCTGTTACTACATCTGTTACTACAACTGCTATCTCTACAACTTCTGGTACTACATCTGTTACCACAACTGCTATCTCTACAACTTCTGTTACTACAACTGCTATCTGTACAACTTCTGTTACTACTACTGCTATCTCTACAACATCTGTTACGACTACTTCTTTCCTACAACATCTGTTACTACTAGTGCTATCTCTACAACTTCTGTTACTACTACTGCAATCTCTACAACTTCTGTTACTACATCTGTTACTACAACTGCTATCTCTACAACTTCTGGTACTACATCTGTTACCACAACTGCTATCTCTACAACTTCTGTTACTACTTCTGCAATCTCTACAACTTCTGTTACTACTCCTGCTATCTCTACAACTTCTGTTACTACTACTGCAATCTCTACAACTTCTGTTACTACTCCTGCTATCTCTACAACCTCTGTTACTACTACTGCAATCTCTACAGCCTCTGTTACTACGTCTGCAATCTCTACAACTTCTGTTACTACTACTGCTATCTCTACAACCTCTGCTACTACTACTGCTATCTCTACAACATCTGTTACTACTACTTCTTTCCTACAACATCTGTTACTACTACTGCTATCTCTACAACTTCTGTTACTACTACTGCTATCTCTACAACCTCTGTTACTACTACTGCAATCTCTACAACCTCTGTTACTACGTCTGCAATCTCTACAACTTCTGTTACTACTACTGCTATCTCTACAACTTCTGTTGCTACTACTGCTATCTCTACAACTTCTGTCACTACTACTTCTAAAACTAGTATTGCTATTTTTACTTCTGTGCTATTAATACTTATGCTAGATCTTACTTCTGCTTCTATTAATACTACAAATGCTGCTAGTATTACAACCGCCAACACTTCCACCCTGTCTTTAACACCACTTCTGTTAATTGTTTAATTCTAGTCATTTACATGCTACAGTACTTCTATTACTGCTATTACTTATTCTGCTAAAACCTCTGCTATTACTTCTACAACTGCGACGTGTATCTACTACGATTGCTATTACCAACGGCAACACTTGCACGCTACTATAAAATCACCACTTCTACTCTTTGTGTCCATATGGTAATTCATTCATGCATGCACAATGGGGAAAATTGGCTTTTGAGATAAAAGCAATCAAATAGGCTCGTTGCGCAACATGCACATGTGCTGTTTTTGCTGTGACTTAAATGTCCTTAGAAAGGGAAGCACGCCCTACATTTATCCGTAAACGGTTACCATCATTTATTTGCCTCATCAGCTAGGTTATACTGGAGTTTAAACAGTTTCTCGTTTCACAAGCCAACGATGGTACGTCGATGTCAGGCAGTGTAAATAAGAGGCGGAATTGATGTCGAACTTTCATTTTCTATACTAAATACTTAGTAACATAGTTGTTTGCTTTCCGTATTTCAGGAGCTATCTGTCAAGAATAAATCACACGTCAATGGTCAGTCGGACAGAGGACGTAGACGGGTGTCCTATGCTTCCGACACGGACCAAACACCGTCCAAAGACTTTGATCCCCCTAGTAACGAGGTGACAGTAGAGAACGACACGGAACAACCTTTCCTGTATACCGTCAGTGAAACACCGCCAGTACATACGCTCCTTCTCATAGGGTTTCAGGTAAGATGAGTTACCTTATTATGATATATATGGGTTTTTTAAAATGACGGTTTTTGTGTGTGAGAGATATGGGACGTGTCTGTTTTTATATGACATATCGCACATGTCTGTTTCTGTTGGAGTGATTTTGTATAAAATCACATACATCTGTTAATATATAATGCAACAGTAATTTTGTATGAAATCAAGTACATCTGTTTTTGTATATAACATAAGAATTACTTTGTATGAAACATGTTACGTCTGTTTTTGTATAAAACAATAGTTACTTTGTATGAAATATGTTACGTCTGTTTTTGTATAATACAAGATTGTTTTCTATGAAATATGTTACGTCTGTTTTTGTATATAACATAAGAATTACCTTGTATGAAATATGTTACGTCTGTTTTTGTATAGCATAAGAGTTACTTTGTATGAAATATGTTACGTCTGTTTTTGTATAAAACAATAGTTACCTTGTATGAAATATGTTACGTCTATTTTTGCATAACATAAGAGTTACCTTGTATGAAATATGTTAAGTCTGTTTTTGTATAATACAAGATTGTTTTCTATGAAATATGTTACGTCTGTTTTTGTATAAAATAAGAGTTACTTTGTATGAAATATGTTACGTCTGTTTTTGTATAAAACAATAGTTACCTTGTATGAACGTCTGTTTTTGTATAATGCAACGGTATTTTCTATTTTCTATGAAATATCTTACGTTTGTTTTGTATAAAATAAGAGTTACTTTGTTTGAAATATCCTATATGTCTGTTTTTATATAATGCAAGAGTATTTTCTGTGAAATATCTTACGTCTGTTTTGTACAATTAAGGAGTTACCTTGTATGAAATTACTGTAATGTAGTTTTTGCGTATGTGCCTATTACAGCTTAGTCGGGGGGGGGGGGGGGGGGG